AGAGAGTTAGGAGAGTGCAGTCGAGTCGGGTAGTGAGTATGGACAGTGTTGAAGCGAATAGATAGGCGACGAGACTTACGAGCGTGATAACGACAGACTCCCAAATTAAAGTGAGCCGAGGCGTTCTCTTTCACAGCCAGAGATTGCTCGTACGCTTTCTGTATTGGAAGGCACGAGAGCAAGACAGGGGGGATGATGAGCGACGATGACCTATGCTCAACGACACAGATGCACATCCTCCGCCTCCGATGCGATAGCAGTGATGCAACTCAGACACGGCAAGACATGCGTCTGCTTCTGCTTCTGTACGCGCCTACAACCGTGAATTCTACTACGACTCCTTGCAAGTCCCGTGCCCTTCCCTTGACTTGCCTTGATCATCGCCGCACGAGCCAATGACTGGCAACAAACACGCACCTTTGCACTCTCCATATCGCCAGCTTCCAAAGCCGTCGTTCCAGCCTGCAAGAATTTCTGACTCTCCATTTCCGACGGATCATCCACGCTCCAATTGGGTGTGGTCCCAGTCGCATATGTTCTCTCACCACCATCTCCTCGTGTCCTCAGACCCGACACTTGTGCTCCTGATTGAGCGGAGCAGGCGCATCTTGCAGCAGGCGATGAGTGTGAGCGGTGCGATGGGGTGAGGGAGGAGGATGCGAGGGATAAGTGTCGATGTGGTGCAAGGATGGATGAGCTATTGTTGAGCTTGACTTGGCTTGGTCGATTGCCAATGCTCGTCAGCACAGAGCGCACAGAAGACGAGGCGCGAAGGGAGGTCATGTCGAAGGTGTAGGCCGAGTCAGGCAAGGTGGAAGAGTCCTGCGAGTGGTCGGAATCGTGAGCGTGGGCATGAAAAGGCAATCACGAATCGCAAAGCTGGCTGCCAGTAATGCGCATTGATTTTCACGATTGTGATTCAAATTACTGTATCGAGACTCACAATCAGAATCAGGAAAGCTGTCAGTAGTCAAGTTGCGCAGTCACAGTCGCAGTGTCAATGAGTGCACCAGCCACCCACCTCGCAACACACCTCAAGAATTTCGAAGAACCTATAATCAAGATTCAATTCAATTCAATTCAATTCAATTCACGATTCCGGTACCTCTCTCTACACATCATACGGTCACCCGTAGTCACGCGAGTCACGATCGAGTTGCTTTCTACGCGCGCAACGCGGCTCGCTGCCTGCCTGCCTGCCTGCTGTTGCTGATGCGTGCGCCCCTCTCTACTGCGGGGATTGGCGAGTGGTCAATGCGAACATCACGAATCTGAATGGTGAATAATCACAAATGTGGAGAGGCATTTCAACAGGCAAGCCATTCACATAGACAGCAACCCCAAATTCCCATTCACATTCAAATTCAGATTCTGATCGTTGCAGCGCCAGATCAGACTCACGACATTCAAACAAGCGTCGATTGTCACACCAACAGCTCTGCAGACTCAGTGACTGCATGGTGACTGCATGTGTCCCTCCCCATCCTGCTGGGCAACGCGCCGCATCGTACACGCACAGAGGAAGAACAGCACTCGTGACTCACACTTGCCAACGTGAGTCATCTCGCTCAAAATTTCGTCACACCAATGACATCGACTTTTTTGTTTTGCCCCATCTTTCGCAAACATCCCGCGCAGGATAAGCATCGAGGCGGACACAGCTAAGCACCTGAGAAAGAGCTGCTCCTCTCGCAAAGCCATTCTTTCCTGGAATTGTTTCCCTCACGCCAAGACAGAGTCGATGGCAGCCAGCAGCTTCTTCGAAAAGATGTCCTCAACAAATTCTCCTTCCTGCGTGAACCATTCGCCTGATTTGGGGAGGTTTTTTTCCCAAGAGAGAACAGGAAGAGTTGCAGCATCAGGTCAGTTGTTCGCTCCTTCCGATCCATGGTGTACCGCAGATTCTGGCGGCGACGCCGTTACCGCGCCTCACGAGACTCACCCATATGTCCAAGATTGATCTTCTCCTTCCCGCTCTTTCGTACCTTTCCTCCACTCCATTCCAGCTCGAGCTCGTAGACTGGCGGAGTGGTCCACTTCTTACCATCCTCCTTCGAAGCTTCTTTGTCGGTTTGCGCTTTGGGCAGAGCGCCAGACGAGATCCGAAGTTTCTTTTGCGTCGACGAGGTCGCCGATGAAGAAGCGTCGGCAGAGCTTTGTGCGCCTCGGAAGATCGTGTCGCCTTCGAGGTAGGCCAAAGCGGTCTGTATGCCTGACAGTACCATGTAGCTGATGTGTCGCGCGTTCGAGCAAGTGATGAGGGGGTAGCTCGGTATAAGTCGGCTGCTGAAGAGCGCATACAACCATGACGTAAAGCGCGCAGATGGACTCACACACCAACAGCAACAGCTGTCAAGCCCTTGTTCTCGTTCCACTCTGGTACGATCTTCCAAGCCCATGCAGAGACGCCAATCATCTCAATCGAAGCGATGAAGCCCAAAACCAATCTGATATCGACCAAAAGGTGAGATGCTCTCCAAGGATTGCTACTGTTGGATGTCAAGATCTACAAGTTGCGGTGGAGAAGGAAGACGGCTGCTGTGCTCAGTATGAGGGTCCAAGGAATAAAGTATAGCAGCACCACTCACCCGCTCAACTGCCTCGTCGCATGTCAGCTTGAGTTCTGTGCTGTTGGAATTATCAATGTAGATCCGAGTCGGCGCCTCAGAAGGCGAGGCAGCAGCAGACTTTGACGCTGCTTTGTCAGGCATGGTGCGCGAATCCTGACACCCGACCGCGATGTGTATGAACCCTTGTTCGTCAGCCTACACCGAGAAGCAAAGAGGGCGTCTCGCAGTCGTGCAGCTCTCGGGGCGCTTCCTAGGTGGTGTGCAGTGCGGACAAGAATGGGCAAGCTTGGGCGCAGATGGAGGTTTGAAAGGCACCAGATCGGAGGTCCTGATCTGGATCGCGATGAATGGTGGTAGGCTTGCTGGAGGTGGCGTAGTATGAAGACGAGCTAGGATCAGCTCTGCAGGCGAGGGCTGTCAGCAGGGGTGCGGCGTTCGAGATTCATTCGAGACTCGAGACTCGCCATCAGACCAAGAAGGGCGAAGCACCAAAGCTGTGGTGCACGACTCCAATCACAGATTCATCCACCAAGTTGCATGCCGACGTGGCCCACATACTTTGACTCTCGATATCCTCGCCTGGACGCCGCCGCCCCATGCGCAGACGCACGTGACGACGCCAGCAGGAATCTTGAATCGATTTAGCGCTACATTTTTGAGTACAAAGCGCTTCACCTTGGGCCGGCTACTGTAGCTAGCTGCACCTGCTGCATGCTGGCGAGGTGGAGTCATGAGTAATCGCGAATCAGCACGGAGGGGGGTGTCGAAGGATGGTCGTGCTGGGTTGATGTTGAGTCACAGTTGATCAGGTCATTCAGCCGTGGGTCGCGACTGCGAGTCCATCACCATGTGCTTCTCGTCCGCATCCTCTCTTACAACTTTGACTCTCCTTCCGCTCCCGCACCGCAACACAAGCGTGAGTGATTCGATAGATTCAAGATTCCAGTCGCCAATCAAGGACGTTGGGACAAGATCGTCATGTCAAAGATACAGCTGCCTCCTCCTGATCAAGCGTATCTGCAGCGTTTGAACGGGGACACAGCCTGGCTTCTTTCGCTTCCGACCTACGACGACTCAGCGCATGAGCATTGCTCGCAAAGCGGTATCTTTACGCTAGCCATAGATCCCTGGCTGCACACTGCAGGCTCCACATCCTATCATCCCAAGTTCAGCAGGGAAGTGAGGGCGGTGCAGGCTGTGGTGCCGTCCATCGAAGCGCTGGACGAGCAGATCCACGAACTTGTCAGGCTTCGCTCGACATCTGCAGCACGCGATGAAGCATCGAGCGGACTAGACGCTGTGCTCACTGCTTTCGAATTCACCGATCATGCGCATCCCGAGGTGAGCAGTAGGGATGTTGCAGTAGTGGCGCTTCGCGCATGCCTCGCAACTCTCTCCTGAAACATGCCTTATCGACGACGCGCGCACAGTCTTTAGCAAACATACCCGCACGAGTAGCCCTTTTCGCTACGCAAAACGCTTCCAAGCACGTTCATGATGTGGCCTCTCGACAACCTCTTATCATTGCAGTCTCCTCGTGGAATCAGCGACCAAGCTGGGATGGCAAGGTCGATTCGAACCTCCCGCAGAACGTTCAATTGCTCACAATCCCAGCTCGAGAAGGGTGGCATCCAGCTTGGCCACGTTTGCACAATGCGCTCCTGATTCTGTGGAGGCAGCGTTCCACCTCTTTCAAAGACCAAGGCAGCGCGTGGAAGGAGCGATACCTGCTTTACTCTCCTCACGGCATCGAAGAGACTTCTGTACCTCCTTGGCTCACACGGATCGAATGCGCAGGATATCTGACAGGATGGGATTCTCATCGCATTCCTTGTGAGTATATGCGTCGGGAATGCCCATCATGCATGTACCCAGCAGCCAGCTGATCAGATTGCAAGCCAAAAAAAACAACTCAATCTCAACGTTTCGTTGGGCCAAAATCGAAGTGATTTTGGGCGACAAGGTGCAACTGGGTCTAGAGCCGGCTCTTAGGATCATCAGTAAGACGCGAGCCTCACGTCTGATCAATACGCACGACGAGCCCAAACACGCCCAAGGTCTCATCTCGTACCTGTCCAGGATCCAGCCTTTGGGCGGTCTGTCGGTGGATGAGGCATTGCGCATCAAGCGTGGAGATCCAGACGATCAGAGACAAGAGGCAGCCCAAATCATCTTGCGCCATCATCTTGAGCAGAAAGGTTCTACACAGGAGGGCGATAAAACTTGGCACCCTGTCGCCTTGGCTTTGGCCGCTGGAGCAATCATTGAACTCGATTAAGGCTCGCAGAGCTGCCTGACACTTCGAACAATCATACTTTGATACTCGACACCATTCGTAGATTACTGCAACTTGATTCCAACTTTTGTATACCTCTCAAAATCCGATACCTGTCTATTGCCACCCGCGCTTCAGTTCCTTTCTTGCTTCAGAGTGCTATATATCATTCCTCGTTGACGCTTCGCTTCGCGCATCATGAGCTTTCTTTTGACTTCTCGACATTGCAGCAAGGTGCACCGCATCAGCGGCACCTCTTTGGAAGCTGCTCTCGCGCACTCGTCGTCCGACTGCAGCAGCAATTGCGTGCACTCATCTGTGGCCTCAGCATCACCCTTGGCCGTGTCGCGCTGATGATGCTTTTCTGCTACAAAAATCCTTTCTCTCTTGCATGCCTGCTCCCCCAATTTTCCTCTTCTCCGCGCCTGCTCAATTCTTACGTCCCGACCTCCTAGGCTTGAGGGCTGGCCTGCCCTCGTCCCCGCTCGAAGCGGCCGCCGCGTTCTGAGCCCTCCGCCTGTGCGCCTCAGGGATCCACTCGTCGTCCACCGCGCTGTTAACGGAGCTCTTGCCGAATGCAGCAGCGGTGGCAGAGCTCGAACCGCTTCCGCTCTTAGCAGCCGCCTTTCTCGTCTCTGCGCTCCGCTTCTGTCTTTTGCTCAAAGAACGCGAGCCTGGGTAGCTCTTGGACGCCCAGTAGATCACTGTGAGGACCACTGCGCCCAAGAAGAAGTACACGGAGATGCTGCAAGAGGAGCGACGCAATTTTGAGCGATGACCGTATGTCTGTCATTTCCCGCTCCGTCACTCACAGCTGCAGATCCCAAACACGCTCCGGCTCAACAACCGTAATGTTTCCAGTGTAGACCCGAACATTGTGCTTCTTGCCCGTTTGCTGCAATCGAGAGGGGAAGAGAGAGCAGGTGGTAGGCTTGGTCAGCATCCACGGTGCTGCGGCCTGCTCGAGGGATACCATGGAATGTTTCACCACTCACTTCATCACGAACGATTAATCTGAACTCGATACCCAGGTCTTGGGGCTTGAATTCTGGCGAAAAGTCAAAAGGCACTTGCAGCGGCTTGCCTAGACCCGTGGTGACAGGCAGATGCTTGATCGGCGTGATGGTGAGCTGTGCATTGGAAGGTGTTGAAATATGAGCTTGTGGAGGTCATGCGGATGCATTCGGTGTGGTTCTAAGGGCCACTCACGTTTCGCAGTACGTAGCCTTTTTGACCCTCTGTCTTCTTCTTTGTGTTTAGGAATGCACCCGTGATGCCCTCCAGCTTGAGAGCCCTGTCCTCTCTTGTACCGACGTTGAAGACGACTGCGTAGGCGAAAGGTGTAGTCAGTGGGCTGGACCCCATCTGGCCAGAGCGAGCATCCACGCACCTCTATTTGCCTGTCCGTTTTTGGCGATGTTGAACGGGTTGTTGGGGAAGACCGTGATCACATTGAGCTCGCTGGAATAGGATTGAGCGCAAGTTCGAGCGACATGAGCATCGGCTACGCGAGTCAAGTGCCTCACTGCAGGTGGATGGACAGCAGCTGGACTTACGGAGTGTCGTCGCTCTGAGCCAGTGCGCTTGGAAGCACGGCCACGAGGAGGCAAAGTGCCAAAGCGTAAAAGAGCGGCAGGAGCCTCATCGCGAAGGGTGCAGAGAGTTGAAGAGAGCGCAGACGACTGACCGCACGAAGCTGAACAAAGTTTCCGAGTGACGTGACGAGGAGGATGGTAGGTGGCAGAGGTGTAGAAGTGTCGCACCGATGCATCCAAGGAGCTGCGAAGCTCTGTACGGTGTTCACGGCCAGAATTCGAGACTTGGTGCGAGTGAGTGAGTGAGTGATCTGTGCATGCAGCACAGCTCGAAGCTCGGCCCAAGCGTACGGGCTCAGCGAGAAGGTCTAGGCTGCCT